CCTTCAAGGTTGTGGCCGCTATCAGCTCGATTCCCTCGATTGCGCCGCCAAGCGACTCGGCAGCCACCGGCCAGAAGGTCGCCACCGAGGCCTGCGCTTCATCGAACCACTGCTGGCGTTGCCCCGCAGTTGGATATCCTTGCAGCCGCGTAAGGCAGCGAATCGCACCGCGTAGCTCGACGACAAGACATGGCTGTTCGACAACTTCACCGCGTGCGTCGGGCAGTCGCTGTGTCTCGATAGCGAGTCGTTTTAGCACGATGGGCTCGCCGTCGAGTCGCCATGAGTGCCCAACAAAGTCCACCAGCTCTCGCCGCAGCAGGTCGGGTCGGACGGCGACGTTCGCGGTCGGGGCATTCGCGTTGGCCCACCAGACGCCTAGTTTTCCTGTCGCCGAGCCTGCAGGCCATTCGACCTCCCAGCACGGGGCCGAGTAGCCATCCAGGCGTCGCCAACGCAGTCGTTGTGCGGGGTCGTCGCTGGCCTCGAACCAAACCGCGGCGGGCCTCTCCAACTTCAGCATCGGCATTGGTTGCGAATCTGGCTGCTTCTCAATGCAGACCAGCGTCGAGCGGTCTCCGTTGGGAAGCAGCCGATCGCTGAGCACAGCGGCCCGCCAACCGGCCGTCTCAATCGCCGGCTGCGTCAGTGGCTGATTCGCGGAGAAGCTCTTCGACGACAAGTAGAGGCCACCTGTCGTCTGACGGGCAGCCAACAACAACAAGTCTCCGTCGGTTAGGAGCGCCTTCTGCGGCGTTGCGTCGTTCGTGAGACGGGGGAGATCGTAAACCCCCTCGGGCACTGGAGCCGATGGCCAAGTCAATGGGTGGAGGCCATTGGATACTGTCGCAACGCCCGCGGGGCCCCGAAGCGCCGTCGCGCTGGCGGTGTAGAGTGGCGTCGTCTGGCTCTCTTCGAAGGCCTGCCGCAGCATCCGCTCCAATTCGGAGGTCTCGCTAGCTTCCCACCATCTGCCCGCGGGGGAAAGTTGATTGAGAAAGCTGAACTGCTGCCGTGCGGCGGTCTGTTCGGGGACATCGACCCGAAACCCAATCACCTGTACCGAGACACCGGCGCCCGAAAGCTCCTCACGCATCAACGCGTCAAGTGGAAGATTCATTGGGTTGGCATATGCGTCTCCGGCGATACGGTTATCGACACCATCGGTGATGGCGATCACCGACTTGTAGCCCGCGGCGCTGCGCAGATCACGGCTTGCCATCAGCATGGCGCGTACGAGCGGCGATTCGTTCCAAGGCTCGATGCGGGGATAGGCGAGCTCGCGCATCACGCCCTGCAACTGAGCCTTATCGGCAGGGTTCCAGCGGACTGGATCGATCACACGGACGATCGTCCCTTCGGGGTTATCGGTTGTCTTATCGCCGCCAACCGCTTGGCCGAAGACCCAGACGCTGACTTGAACACCTGTCGGAAGATCACGCAGCAAGGACTCGAGTGTGACGACGGCTTGGCGATACTTCGAGGCCGCTTCGTCTCCAGGCCCCATGCTCCCTGAGGCGTCCAGCACGATCGCGATAGCGCCGTCAGCATCGTTATCCGCTTCGGCTCGATTATCGAGTATCGCTACCCCAGCGCCTGGACGGCGTGGCGCATCGACAAACTCGGCGGTAGGTGTTGCAAGATTTCGGAGGGTCACCGTCGATTCGAACTGACTGCCGCGGAACCAGCCACTAAGCCGCAAGTCGCTCTGCGAGGCGATGTCCACGGTGTCGCCAGTATGCCCGACGACAACCGCGTTCTCGGCTAGCCCCACACCCGGTTGTATTGCAACGCCCCGGCGGCAATTCGTTGCGGCTCCGATCAGCGCATAGCCCTCCGGGATGCTGAGCTTCACGGCCGCGACGCCGTCCGCATCTTGACCAAGTGGCGAATCAGAAGCCTCGATCTTCAACGAGAAAGCCGGCGCGACGGACGACACGAGGTTTACTGATGCAGGGGCGTTCAGCTTCCACACCAGTGACTGGCTCGCAACAGCGGCAATTCGATCGGTTGACTCGCGGCCGGGGATAAGACGATCGGCAGCACCCAAGTACGCCATAGCCAGCGACTGAAATCGCGGACCTTCGCCGGGCTGCGCGTCGCTCCAGAGTTCGCTCAGCGAACGTTCTGCCTCCCAAAGCAAATAGTCGTAGCGGCCGACGCGACGCACTTCCTCGAGCAGTGATGGTGGAAGATTCTGCGCGGTGGCTCCGGCGAAGCGACGTAATGCGGCCGCCGCCCGGACGACGCGCTGGCGGTGAGCTTCATCAGCTCCACTATCGACGACAATCTCGCTCAACGCGCGAGAGTCGTTTAGCGCTGATATCATCAGGGACGCACAGGCTCTTGTCGCTTGGTTGGCGGCGTCGACATCCTGCGTGACGGCACGGACAGTGTCTTGGTAGACATCCCGCCCCTCGACGGCGCGTTCGTAGACGCGTCTACCAACAATGGCAAGTGCAAGCCTTGCTCGTCGTGAGCGTTCACCAATTTCCAGCTCGTGATGAATCCCTTCCTTTCCGTTGATGCTTTCCATAACGTCGCTTTGAACTGTCGGCGTCACGGACGATAGCAGCCGGATCCGCTCGGCGACTTCGATGTCGGGGACCGCAAAAGCCGCTTCACGATTGAGCTCCAATGGGGCTCCGGTGCGTGTGAGCAGGCGGCTCCGGAAGTGTCGGAACTCATCACGCAATCCTTCAACTGCCTTCGATGCAATCTCTGTCTTGGAAGTCAGTTCTTGCAAGGCAATCGATGGCGCCCGATTGCCGATCTCTACCGACAAAAGAATGTCGCTGAGTTCGCCTATTGCAAGGTGCGCAACGATGGCTTGGTTGGTAATCTCGGCGATCTCTTCGGCAATCGCTGGCGAGGTCGCAACGAGACGTTCGGTAGCGTCGGTATAGAACCCTAGTACGTCGTAGGCTGTATCCCGAACTCTCAGAGATCGACGCACGGTCTGCGCGTCGCTCAACAACGCTTCGTAGAGCTTTTTTGCCTTCTGGAGTGATACGATTGCTGCTTGGAGTTCTGGCTCACCGACGAAGAGCAAATCCTCTCCTTTGAGGCGAGCTCGGTCCGCCTCAGCAAAACCACCTTGTAACCAAGGAAACAGCTCAGCGGTGTAGGGCAGTTGATCCAAGCTCTCCGGTGTGAAAGGCGCCGTCGAAAGCCGTCGCGTCTCGATTGCTAGCCGCAACGCCTCACGCCACGATGCCGCCGAGAGGTCGCTCGGCAGTCCTTCAGCTAAAACCGACAGCAGATGGGCTTCGGCGGGAAGCGGCGTCAGCGGGTCGTGCAACGCTTCCACCAGCGCAGCGCCGTGAAGGAGACGTCCCTGGGGATCGTCGGCCACCGTCTCGACAACGCGGTCGAGCAACCCGTGCCGCAACGCTGGGAGCTCGGATACGGGAACTTCGCTAAAGACGCGCGCGGCCACGACATGGTGGTTAACGCCAGCTGCCGGCCAAAGTTCCGCAAAGGCGGCAGTGACAAGTCCTCGCAGAGGGTCGCCCGTAGCGGCGCGATTGGCCTCGACCGGTCCATCGCAGCAATCACTTGCGTGGCTCGCTTCGAGTAGAAGTGCCTGTGTGTCGCCGATCTCGTCATTAACACGCTGGGCGGCTTCGGTTGCGCCTGCTGTCAGCAGTTGTTCACGCCGGATCAGCAACCCACGGTAGCGACGCCAGGCTAGGGTGGAGCTTGATTCGGGGTTTGGCAGATGCGCTGTGACCTCCGCCATACCGGCCCAGTTAGCCAGGAGTTCGGCCGTGGGAAGCTCCCTAGCCACCGGCGTCGGCGCCGGCGTGTAGCCGGGATTAGCAAAAGCAATCTCGACTTGCCGAGATCGGCTCAGGCCTGTTTCACCGACAGGAAGCCTCAGCACCGTTTGCGTCCTTCCGATTGTAGTCGCGTTCTGCTGAAGCTGACTCGATACCTTTGCTAGTATTTCTTGGATGCTAAGCCGCCCGTCTGAGTCGGTGTCGTTCGCCGCGCCACGGAGTGCTGCAAGTAGCGACTCGGTAAATGCGGTAGAGCCGTAATCGCCGTAACGCCAGGACTGTTCGCCGATGTCGCTCGAGCTGACGACCAACAAACCAGGGATCGCCTCTATCTCGCTGTTCAGAGAACGGAGACTTGCTGCAAACTCGTTCCCGGCTTCGCCGTAGCGCAATGATCCGGGGGACATCGTTGCATCGAAGGCGACAATCTTGGGTAGCGAAGGTGGAAGCTTACGTAACTCGTGCAATAGGTCGGCAACATACAATCGCCGAGTTGGATCCTCGCCGGGCGCACATGCCTCCCTCTGCAAGTAAGGGCCTTTTTCGTCAGCGCCACCGTGCAGCGAAACGAACAGTAGCGCGCCTGGTTCCTCCATGAGGCCGACGGCGTCGGACCATGTGAACTCGTCATCCGCGACGAGCGGCGCAGCAGCGGCGTCTAGAAGTGATCGGCCCCGAAAGGCGTCGGACGTCGATACGGCATAGTCGCAAAGGCCTCGCAGGCCGCGCCAACCGTGCGCGTTGTGAGGCACGGATAGGTTGGCAGCGTAGTCGGCGCCTACGGCGATGAGATTCACCCTGGCCGGCGGACTTAACAAGACCGCAAGACATGCCACTCCAGCGGCGAAGAGGAACGCGCCAGTGACTCCAATGCCGACGCGCCATCGGCGAAGTAACTCGACTCGAGCTACCTCGGCGCAACGGGGGGCGGGACGTTTGGCGTGGTTGGCGTCTTGTCTCATATCCAACCCAAGATGGAGATGTCGATCGATTGGCTCGTTCGAGCCGCAGAAACTTAGCTCTCCCGGGTGGGTGTGGTGAAAATGCGACACGAAGAAATCAACCGCAAAGCCCGCGCATCCCGCACGATTGCGACGTCCCGCAGGGCCCACGCAATTTGCCGAGATTCGCCTGCCCGAAGACTCGATTGACGGCGCCTAGTAGCGCCTCGGTGCCGATGCCAGCAGAGCAACTGCGCCTCCTTACACGTCCTTCGCAATGTCCGACGCCGCCGAGAGTGGAGCCACCGAGTACACGCTAAGCGACAAGGGCCGCGTGCTGCGCGTGTCGTCGTCGCTCGACTCGCCGCTGATCGCGACCTCGATGCGCTGTATCGAGGCGTTGTCCGAGCCGTTCCGGATCGAGTTGACATTTCTCAGCGAAGCGGACGACATCGATTTCTCCGAAGTCCTCGGCAAATCGATGACGGTCACGGTTGATCTCCCCGGCCAGACAACCCGCTACTGGAATGGCGTCGTCACGGCGTTCACGCAGTCGGGCCGCGACGACAACTTTTCCTACTACGCCGCCTTGGTGCAACCCAAACTGGCGCGGCTCGCTTTACAGAGCAACTGTCGCATCTTCCAAGATATGAAAGTTGACGACATCCTTGAGGAGTTGCTCGCCGGCATTGAGGAGAAGAAAACAGCGTACACGCACGCCGAAGAGCGGCTGCCCCACAACTACCGGGTGCAGTACGGCGAGACCGATTTTGCGTTCGTAAGCCGATTGATGGAAGAGGCAGGCATCTTCTATTACTTCGAGCATGATGAGAAGAAACACACGATGGTGCTCTGCGACGACTCGACGCAGGCTGCCGTTGGAGCGGACCTCGCGCCGCTCGAATACCGCCCAACGGATGGCGGTGTTCAAGACAAACCGGCTGTCAAGCGTTGGCGAAAGACTCAAGCGCTAGCGCCGACGGGCATCACCTTCCGCGACACGCATTTCCAGGCGCCACGCGATCCCTTTGAAGCAACACGCAAAGTAACGGCGACTCTGTCGCTAGGGGCATCGACGCACAAGCTACCACCTGACGAGACGGAACACGCGCTCCTGGATTACGGTAGCGGCTATACCGTGCGTTACGACGGCATCGGGACGAAAGAACAGAATCCTGGCGCCGATGGCGTCGGCAAAGACGCGCTGTCTAACATGAGAGCGGACGCCGAGCGGGAAACACAACGTGTCTGCGATTTGCTTACCGCCGCGGCGATCTCGATCGACGGTGGGAGCGACGCGTTGGCGCTGACGCCGGGGGGCGCCTTCACCCTGTCGGGGCACTTCAACGCCGACACCGACTATGTGGTGACGCGTGTCTTCCACGACCTGAAGGTTGGCGGAGCTTATGCATCACCGGATGATGAAGCGTTGCATTACGAGAACGAGTTCTACTGCTGGCCGAAGGCGACGCCGTATCGCCCCCGCCAGGTGACGCCTAAGCCCCGAATCCATGGTGTGCAAACGGCGTGGGTGGTTGCCGACCTCACCGAGAGCGAGGCGGACATCACCAAACTTAAGTCACAGCTCTACGACAAGTACGGCCGCGTAAAGATCCGGTTTCCGTGGGACCGCCGGGCAGAGGCTGTCGTCGAAGGCGAGCAGCCAGAAGGCGCCGTCGGCCCGACGAATCGTTCGTGTTGGGTGCGGGTCGCCCAGTTCTGGGCCGGCGCGGGCTGGGGCGCGTTCTTCTGGCCTCGGCATGGCAATGAAGTGCTCGTCGCCTTCGAGCACGGAGACGTCGACCGCCCGATCATTATCGGCAGCGTATACAACGCAAAGAGTATGCCGCCGATGGAGATGCCACGGCAGCAAGATGTTGCAGGGGTGCGATCGTGCAGCATCCAGGGTAACCCGACATCCGAGTACAACGGCATTACTTTCCACGACGAACTCTATAACGAGCATCTTGAGATTCAGTCCGAGGGGCATTCCGTCAAGAAGAACGAGCAGAGCGAGCACAGCTTTGTGCTAGGCAGCTCGATTAGCGTGTGCGGATCGCTGTTTGGCTTCCCTAAGTAATCGCCTCTGACTATTAGCGTCTCCGAATATGGCTGAAGCTGCGGAACAGGAATCCGACGCGCCGAAACTCGCCAACCTTAATGGGCAACCGACATCCGCCACCAAGAACTGGCGGTCGGCTTGCCTCGCTAAGGGATATGAGGCGGCGATCGATGTCACCCTCGGACACGCCGCGTCGATTGTCGGCGGTTGGCCGGCGGGTTCGACGAGTGAGATCGTCACCGGCGGCTCGATGTCTCTAGTGCTTGACCCAACGAGCCTTGTCGACGACGGCATTCTCCAGCAGGCCCAGGACCTGCTGGCGCCGATGGGCGACTGGTCGGGCGTCTTTGGTCCACAACGTTCTCTGCACTACGGTCCCTCGCTATCGATCCATCACGGCGCTGAGATCACACGGCGTGGCGTGCAGACCTTCGATGAGGCTAATCCTCGGACCTATTTCGTAGCAGGGATCGTTACAGCGGCGTCGGCGCTGACACTGCTTGGATGGAAGAAGCAAGACAGCGATCCTGTCGCGTGGGAGAACCTCGTGCGGTCGCTCGGCCCGCGGGGGGTAAGCGGCATGCTGCTTAACTTGCTGATCGAGTTTGAGAAGGCGACTGGAGAATGCGATGCGGGCTTAGAGAAGCAGTCCGAAGCGAGCAGTCTCAACGACCACGCCGGCGCCTTGGGATCGGACTACTCGTCGCTAGTGCTCAACTTGGCGTCAAAAGCAACCGACCAAGGGGCGTCACTCACGGCGGCAGGCGAGGCGGACAAGGCTGCCGAAGAAGCCGAAGCGAACTCCGAGGACACCTCGGTCGATGACGCTGAGAACTCTGCTGAGAGTGATGATTCATCGGAAGAATCGACGGAAGACGACCCCGCAGCCGACGCCGCGGCCGCCGAGGCCGCGGCAAACGGGCCCGACACGAGTGACATGAAGTTCGGCTCCGACGAGGCCGACCAGTATCAGTGTTACGACGGACTCCTAGCGACCGGGGCGCGGCATATCTCTCTGCGAGCGAGAGCGACCGAAGACAGCGACACCGATGCGTCACTGATCCATCTGGACGCCCACGGCGCCGACGGCCAAGACAACGGCGTTGTCGCGATCAACTCGACCGGCCAAGCGACGATCGTCTGCGGCCCCGCCGCGATGCAGGTCCGGCGTGCCGGCACAACCGGGCAGATTGACATCACCACCGGCCAACAAGGGACGATCACCGTCAACACCGGCGGCGACACGGGCAGCAAAGTAGAGATGACGCCCGACGGGATGAAGCTATCGGTCGGCGCCGAAGGCTCGGGAGCTTTGATCTCGATGACCTCGACCGGCATCAAACTATCGGTCGGCGCCGGCGGCGGACCGTGCCTCGAACTCACGACCTCCGGCGTGACGATGAGCTGCGGCTCGAGTAGCGTCGCCGTGGACCAGAATGGGCAGACCACGAAAGGCATGAATGTCACGCACCAAGCGGACATGAACTTCGAAGCCAAGGGCACGATGGTCGCCGTCCAGGGTTCCGGCCAAACCGCCATCAAGGGCGCAGTAACGATGATCAACTAAGGTTGATGTCTGTCGGCATTAGCCGTCAGTTCAACCGTTGTGACTACCAATCGCTGAACACTAACCACTTCTTCTGCATCATGGGCGCCCCAGCCGCACGACTTACCGATATGCACGTATGCCCGATGGTGACACCGGGGGTGCCGCCGATTCCGCACGTTGGCGGCCCGATCACTGGCCCCGGCGCGCCGACGGTGCTCGTTGCGTCGATGCCCGCTTCGGTTGTGGGCGATATGGCCGTCTGCGTCGGGCCGCCCGACACGGTTGCGATGGGGAGCACCACGGTCCTTCTGGGTGGCAAGCCCGCCGCACGGTTGGGTGACCCTACCGCTCACGGCGGCAAGATTGTGCTCGGCGCCCCTACCGTGTTGTTTGGATGAACTAAAAGGACCGGCTCATGCCACTCACATCCGCTATCGCCGACGCCGATAACTCAACCGTAGCGCCGCCCGCGCAGGACGTTTGTGTTGCTGCGGCTGCAGCCGGGCCGTGGACGACAAGGCCCGATTCGGATGAGACGGCGGACGCCTACTTCTCCCGTCTTGTCGAGACGAATCAGCTGGAGGACGCAACGCGTTTCGCCGCCGCGTATCTCGGACCACGTCGCGCGGTGTGGTGGGCGTTGTTGTGTGTTTGGAACCTGCTACGCCTATCGCCGCCTTTG